TGGACAGGGACACCTTCCACTAGAGCAGGTTGCTCCAAAACCTGTCCAGCCTGGCCTTGGACACTTCCAGGGATGGGGCAGCTGCTGTCAAGGGAGGAGAAGAGGGTGTGCCAGAGGAGGAAATGGTGTAACTGTGGGTTCAACTGCTGCTGCAGGGTGGAACTGGCTTTGGGTGGTTACAGCAGAGAGAGGAGGCTGGCACAAGTTGCCCAGGAGCACAGTTTTATAGGCAAAAAGCATAAAGTGCATTATCATGCTTAAGTGATTAATTAAAAAAAGCAGCCTCCTGAACATCAGCACACTGCAAACATAAAACCACCCGAGGCAGATGGACAGATTGTTCCATTAGGCTAAATTGGCTTGTTTGGTCAGAATTGCCTTTATTCTTGCTTTTTATTTTGCCAGGGGGAATACTGGCTCTTAGGAGCTGCTGCGAGGGTTTGTGATCCAGCACAGAGACTTCAGAACAACTTTCATTTTGAGCAAGGTTTTCTCAGGGGGTGGTGGTGTCGTATTTTTAAGCCAATTTCCAGTGTAGCAGGGCCACTCTCAGCCTTTTCTAAACCACTCTTCCTGAACAGCAGAAGAACACAAGGTGACAAAGACAAACACAAGAAAGATAAATTCACTGTTTAAGTCTTAAGTGCAGACTAAAAGGCTCTCCAACACTCATGATGGCAGGACCATTGATGCTCCTCTTGGTGGTATTGCATCTTTTACAGAGGCTGCTTTGCCAACAGCTCTCATTTTAAAGGCTGATGGGAGTTTGAGAGGTTATGGATTTAGGAGAAAAAATACTGTTGACTAAGGATATAGTGCTTGAGTCCAAAATACATGAATAGAACTAGAACAAAGTGAGGCACAGGAGCAGAGAACTGCAGTTTACATGGATTTAACTGCTGGCCAACTCCTGTTTGTATGGGCATCCACTACTATGGAGAAAAACTACTAATATCCTTCAGCTCCAGACATGACTTCATATCCTAAGGCATGTGCCATCTAACTGTACCTCTCAAAGCCAGAAGGATCACTCAGTGCTCTCCCAGACCCCAAGAAAAAGCCACAGCCACCCTGGAACTTTTGTCCACGACTGGTTTGGCCCTGATGAATGCCTGGACCACAGGCTGGGTCATGGAACTGAGACAAAGAGAACACAACACAGCCCAAGGGTTGTGAGCTCTGGCTGTGCAGGAAAAGCAGAGTTTCAGGGCTGAGAAAGAGTCACCCAGATTGATTCATTCACGTTCCTGATGGGGCTTGTTGAGTACATACACTTCATTTTTATTGTTGAGGGCAGTGATGGGATCCTCTGCACTTCATTTATTAAAGATACAAAGGGCTTGTTCTTCATGTTGCCCAAAGAACCAGAGTAGACTTTGCCCTTCATCCACCAAAAGCAGAGAGGGGAGAAAAGGGGCCTGGAACTGACCCTTAAAAATCCCTGTGTTAGTTTTTACTTCACAAACTCTTCACTTGTCCTCAGCAGCACTTGGTCTGTACTGCACCACTACAAGGAATTAATTAAGGACCAACTGTGAGACAGCAATGCTGACACCTTGGGTTCACAGAAGCATCTCTCTTTCCTTCTGAGATTTGTTGCAGACTTTCCTGCCCAGTAAAACACTTGCCAGAGTCTTGGAACAGGAGTCTCAAGAAGGTTGAGCAATCCAAGGGAATTCCCTTTATTCCACAGGTCTTTCCTCCATCTGATCAGTGCAGTGTCACAGACAACTCAGATAAAAGAGGTCACTGCCAGCTGTGGACCTTTGCTGAAATTATCTCTTTCCTTTCATTCTTTTTTCTCTCAAGTACAGCTACAAGAGGAATATCTGACCCATCCCAGAGCTGAACTGCAGTCAAACAAGGAAGCCACAGTTTTGCCTCACCACCTGAAGCACAGGCACAAAAACTGCACTGTGAGATGGAGCAACATAAAAATATTGTCCCACTGTAGCAGAAACTCCAAAAGCTGGGGAGCTGCAAGCAGTGGGTGTCCAATTTTCGGAGCCTGTAAGATCCATCTGTTAAAGTGGATGGAGGCTGTGTGGGTCAAAGAGTTCCAATTCCAGCCCTTTCTGCTGCAGGGTTTTAACTGCAGGCTGCAGTGGGGAATATGGATCACCAAACACAAAACCACAAGCAACAGAAAACTGAGAACACATATGTGCTTGCCCTCAGCACTGCTGCCTGGGAGCTGTTCTCCAACCAACAAAAACATCCCTGGATGTGGCTGGAAAAGATGAACAGGCCCCATTGCCAAGTCATGGCCTGAACTATTCCAGGGGCAGAAAAGGCAGCTGGACTGCTGGTAAAGAGCAGGGCTATTTAAGGAGACTCACTCTGGCCTAATGGAAAATGCAAGGATAGAATTATCAATTATTTTAAACTAAAACAACATCTCAGGTCCAGGAAAAAAGCCATCACAAGGAAGCACAAGAGAGAAGCTGGTTAGATTGGGCTGCCAGCTCGATCCAGGTACAGAAAAAGCAGGATAGGCTGCTCTTTAGAAGAAAGAAAATTAAATATTTTCCAGAAGATGGTGACTCTGGACAGTGTTTCAGCCTCCAAAGCAAACTCTGAATGCACCTGCACTGTTGTTCCAAGCACTGGCACAAAGCTGATGTGATCAGAGGGGCTTGGGTTATCACAAGGCAGCCACAAAAGCAGTCAGTGGGACAGAGATAAAGAAACTGCTCTTAGATATTTAGCTGTGTAATTACATTTTAAGTCACACTGCTTATCTTCTTTCTCTTTCAGCCCTCAGGGCAGCTGCTCCTTGTGTGCTGCACAGTGTTCCATATTAAGAATTCCTATGCAGACTCCTGGCTGCCACCCAGGATGCATGTTAGAGAGCAAACACACGGAGCCAAACAAACAACAGTCCCACAGACTCTGAGAAAGGCCCAACACACCACTGCCAAGTGGGACTCCGAGCTGAAATCCAGAGAGGCAAAGCTCTTCAGCAGGACCATCAAGTGCAGCTTTGTCTGCTGCAAAACCCACTGTAACTGAACTTATCACCGCTCTTTTACCACTTAGTCCCAGACTGTTCACAGCCCCAGCACAGCTGCCCCATCAGATGCTCAGAAGTCACAGCAGCAGCATTTAACATGATTTGCAATGAGGGAGGGCAGCAAAAAACTCTGGTTTTCTTTCACAGGACTGCTCTGTCCAGTGCCTGTTACAAAAAAGGGCAAACCCTTCTCTTCAGAATTCAGTCCAAAGTGCAAGTTTAAAGGAATTCTCAACGTCTCTGTGCCTTGTTCCTCAGCACTTCCCCTGTTTGCAGTTACATATTCCAGCAGACAGCTCTATAAATACAGCCCAGCAGTTCAATGCCATGGTCTGTGATGAAACTTTTACAAGAAGGTTCCCCAGGACTTCCCAAAATGAACAGCTCTGAACAACTTTTGTAATTCCTGTTCAGGACGGAAGCAGATTTGAATGCACATGCACCAGAGAATATCTTGTTTACACAGTGTGTTACAGCCTGCACTGTGGTGCTTATTCACAGCACAGGATGTATTCATTTCTGGCTTCCAACAAACCAACAGCACTCGATTCTGAAGGCCAGAACATCTTTCTGTCTTGTTTGCTCTCCTGGGACGAGCATAAGTGGATGAGGCAGGGAACCATTCCAGTGTGCAGCACAGGAAGTTCAGCAGGTATAAACTGGATCTGGAAATGAAGTTGGTGATCTAATATGCTGCTGTCATTAGCAGCTCAGATGTAAGAGAAAAAGTAAATCATGCTCCCTGCCTCTCTGTGCCAGTGGAGATGCTACAGGGTGTTTTACAATAACCCTCAGGTCCCAAACAACGTTTTTTTTCTGAATGGTTTTATTCAGCCTCGCAAAATCACAGAGAAACTTTGCTGGACATCACATTCTCCCCATCTATTCCCACAGCCAGCTGCATATGTTAGAGAAGCTTGGGCTGGGACTGTGGTGGATCTGAGTCAAGGCCTCCAGTAAGAGAATTGGGGTATTTAAAGTAACTGCACAATATTGCAGTGATGGGTGACTGACTGCAGGACACCTCAGGCCAACTCCCAGTCCTTCCACCCTGTCAGAGTGGCTTGATGGGCAAGGCAGGGCTGGGAATTCATTCACACTTGGCATTTGTAGGTGGCAAAAACGTTTGCACCGACTGGATTTTACTGAGTCAATCTCCAGGGGTGATGTATTAACCAGAAAAAAACCCCTGACTTTTCTGCTGTAAAGACAAGTTACAGCTGCCAGTGACAGAGAAATGCAGTTGCTGGCAGTGCCAGACAGCTGCTATTTAAGGGTGTCTATAGATACGTAACAGAGGTGGCATTTCCAGAAAACTTGCCTGGAAATCCTAGGGAGACAAAAAATTATCTTAAATGCTAAAATTAGAAGTGACTAATACCAGATCTGTGGACTTGAGGAACTAGTTGATTCCTGCCTGGGTTGGACAGGCAGATTCTGAGAGGACTGAACACCGGGTAGTTTTGGCTTTTCATTAGCGGAAGGATTTGCTCTGATACTTCAGTCACACTGAGGCCTGTGTGAATGCAGCAACACCAGTGCTCACCAATTCTCCCTGTGCAGACACAGGGAGAGCTGGGGAGCAAAATTTTCCTGCTGCACTGGCACTGGGAACATTCTGAAGTGACCCTGCTGTTTTCTTGGCTGGCAGCTGCACAGAAGGAAGGATATATTGGTGAACCCCACGAGTCTCTGACCTGTCTCACCTTCTATTCTGAGAGTATTAGCACAATTCACTTAAGATACGTGAGGACTGGATCAAATCCAGGAGAAGAGATTAGTTTGGACTAAGGAAGTGGATGCCAGGCAGACAAAAGTCAAAAGGCAGACAAAAGTCAAAAGCCACCACACACCTGGCACACACAGAATGCCCGGTTTTGGGTAGTTCAGGACCAGGAATTGTTGACCTTCATAGAATTCAATGCATCACCTGCCCCAGGACGAAGCCAGGGCTGAAAGCTCTGTCCTCCCACGCGTTGGAACTTACCCAGGAAGAAATACTCCGGGGACTTTTTGTCTGTAGCAAAGTCTGCCATCGCCCCACCGAAGCGCAGCCACAGCCCGAAGGCAATGACAGCCAGTCCCGCCAGCTGCAACACAAACAGAGCAGTCAGCACAAACAAATGGCTGGAGAGCACCCCAGAGGTGTCACTGGCACCTGTGCTTTCCTGAAACCCCCCACCTTAAAATTCAGGGACTGCTCGCCAGTGTCTGACAACAAAAAAATTCCTGTTTTAGGGCAGTGTGTGCTTTGTTTCAGCTCTTCGGTGTAGTGGTGCTTCTGAACTTAATAGTGGCTCTCAAACCTGGGAAGTCATTTAGTCATTAAAACTCGGCCTGAGTTGCAGCAGGGAATGGAATCGGGCAGGAGACCCCCAGCAGAACCAGGAGGTAAAAGGATTGTTACACATAAAGTATCTTGGAACACAGAAATTACAAACTAGCGATGGATGCTGTCAAATGGAAGGAAAAATTCCTGTTAATGCAAACAAGACCAGGTCACAGGGGAGTGTCACAGAATGTTGTTTAAGGGGAAAAATCTACAGTTGGTGGTCTCAGCCCCACCACAGGCCAAACAAATTATCAGGCAGCAGTGGGTATGCTGGCAGACAGCTCCAGGATCCCACAGGATCAGGCACAGTGTCCTGTTGCTGTGCTGAGGGAGGCCCAGAGCCTCGGTCTGTAGCTCCTGCACAACCTGGACAAGGCTCCCAAACACCTGCTGCTTCCCCTGGCCTTGGCAGCCTGGCCTGGTGCCTTTCTGACCTGCCCTGCATTGCCTGGCACCGGATCCATGTGCCATGACCTCCACAAGCCAGGAAAGCAGGCGAGTGTACAGCTGGAGAGCGTGGGATCGTGGCTGTCCTCACAGACATGTCCTAGCAGAGCCTGAGGGTCCCCTGCCACCCTGTCACAGCATGGGGACCTCCTTCCTGGCAGGCAGGGGCTCAGCTTTGGGCTGGCAGTTTGGGCTGAGTGCCCCAGCCAGCTGAGGAGATGGTTCCTTCCCTCCCAGCGAAAAGGCAGGATAACAAAACACAGTGGCTGTCACTTTTGAGAAACAAATAACACAGAGCTTTGTCCTGCTGCTGCCTTGCAGCTGCAGCTGGGCAGCATCACTCTGCCCCTCCAGCTCGAGCACAGCACCACTGTGTCCCCGGGGCGCCAGCGCTGTCACCAAGAGGGAACAGCATTTGCTTTAGCTGCGCTTCCAGCATAAAGGAGACAAAAGCCCAAAACTGCTTGCTCCAGAGAGGCTGAACAGGATTACTTTGTGACTTCTTTTTAAAAGAACCCAGTGAATCAGAAGGAAAGAAAAAGACGTTTAAGAAGATGACATTGCCGATTGTTTTCCAGCGTGAAGAACTGGAGAGCTGAAGGGAGGACAGAGCGTGAGGGAAAGTGAAAGAGAAAAGAAAGCGTGAATTCATCTGTGCTGTGGCACTGTGAGACTATTGAAAAGGTGCAATGAGGGGAGAACGGGCACAGCATTCCCTAAATTTCTTGGGGATGATGCGAGGGCTTTCTCTTCGGACGAACTTGTGAACGCAGCAGCCGCTGGCTCGCTATTTGAGATGACATGAGTAAAACCCACCGTGATGCTGTGAAGCGCTCCGCTGCACTCGGTGCTGGGGAGAACATCTCCCAGCCTCCTCCTGCAGCTCTCTGGTTGCCGGGGAAATGGCCACTGCTTTAAATTATCAGTTTAAGGCTGCCTTTTCCCAGAGGTTTCACTCCGCATCAAATGGGTACTTCCTTCCCCAGGGAAGAGCCGCGCCTCCGTGGGAGCAGAAGCCGGGAGCGCCGGCTGAGCGCTGCTGCCCCTGCTTCGGGCAGCTCAGCTCCTCGGAGGGACCCCCCTCCCGAGCCGCCCACCCTCTCCCCCCGGGGACACCCCCGCAGCAGGTGCCCCCGGGCCCCGCCCGGCCCCGCTCCGCCCGGCGCTCACCCAGAAGGTCAGGTTGAAGATGAAGAGCAGGATCTTGATGCAGCGCATCCCCCCGCGCCCCGCGCCCATGGCGGGCGCCGGCTCCGGCAGCAGCTCCCGAGGCGGCTCGGCCCGGACTCGCCGGCCGGGGCGGCACCGGGGGCAGGTGCGGGGCCGGGCGGGGCTGCCCGGGCGGATCCGCCGACCTGGGCCCGCCCCGGGGCGGACTCTGTGCCCGGGGGTTCCCGCAGCCGCCGCGGCCCGGGCGGGGCTGGGGAGCGGCGGGCGGGGCTCTGCGTGGCCCCTCTGGGCATCCCGCGTGTCCCAGGGGCGTGCGGGGACGCTCGGAGCGCTGCAGGCGCTGCCCGCGAAACCGCAAGCGGCACCGAGGGTTTGGTGTCCGCTCTCCTTAAAAACTATCTCGCGCTCGTAAACCAAGGACCCCTAAAGTTAATTTCCGATCGCTAATAAATGCTTTCACCCTGTTATCTAGATTTGCCCCGAAATGCTGACTCTGCCACCAAAATCTTACAGCTTTCTCCCCTTGTGATTTTTTTTTTTCCAGCTGTTATTTTCCTTCAGAGTCTTCAGGAGCTCTTGAGTCCAAAGCTACCTGTGGGGCTCTGACAGAAGAGCACAAGGTAAGGCTGAGTCTGTGGACACGTAGGGTTTCTGTGTTCAACATTTCCTCTCAATATTTAATTAACAAAGCACTTATTTCCTGCTTTAGTAACTCCACAGTGTTAGCTATTCATATTGTTCTCGTATTTAGAATCAGTTTTCCCCGAGGTGTGTATGGAAGCCACGCAAAAAGGCGTAGGAAAAGATGCTTGGTGTTGTTATTTCCAATTACAACCATCTAATGATGCAGAAATACCAAAGGATGTTGGAGGCGGTTTCCATTTTCACTCACTTTGCTGTTTATTTTCAGCTGCGTTAAAGCCAGGCAGCATTTTGGGAAAATCATCCCATATAGTTTATTTGAATTGCAGTGGCAGACTTTAATTAAGAATCTCTCATTTAATTTGTAATGAAAAACACTTTATTAGTTGGGGTTTTTTAAAGGAACTTTCAACCTACCTTATGACTCAAAGTAAAACCTTACAGTTTCCCTTTTTTTTGCTTCAGTGATGCAAACAGTGTTGACCTTGATCCCTGCTAAAAATAACAACGACATGAATGCATTTGAATAGACAAAATAACTTCATGACAACGAGAGGCATCAAACAAGTAGCAAAAGACTTCATTATCCCCTGATAGATTTGAAGCAATGAAAAAAAGAGTGAGGAGTTTTGTGCTGGATTATGATGGCAACACATGTTTTGGAAAAGTCTTTTATCAGGCTTCTCTAGCAGTCTTCATGCTAATTTTATCTTAAAGTTTAGGAATGGAGCATTCAGCTTTCATAAGTAGCAGGTCTCCTTCCCACTTAATTCTTGCAGTGAATGAATTCCACTATGCTGCTTTTCAGCACCTGGTTCTTGGCATCACCTCTTCCTCCTGCACAGGGGACACACAGGGCACAGGGGTTACATCAGGCTGGCAAAAAGTCACTAGTGGGGTTCTACAGGGCTCCACTTTAGGGGCAGTGCTCTTCAGTGTCTTCATAAAGGACTTTGTAATATCACAGAATCATGGAATGTGCCGAGTTGGAAGGGACCCACAAGGATCATCGAGTCCAGCTCCTTGGCCCATCCCCAAGAGTCACACCAGGTGCCTGAGAGTGTCATCCAAACTCTCTGCTCTCTGTGAGCAGTGACAGCACCCAGGGAACGGCTGGAGCTGTCCCAGGGGAGCGTTAAACTGGATATTGGGAAAAGTTCTTCCCCCAGAGGGTGGTTGGCACTGAACAGCCTCCCCAGGGCAGTGGGCACAGCCCCAAGGCTACCAGAGCTCCAGGAGCGTTTGGAAAACGCACTCAAGGTCATGGTGGGATTGCTGGGGTGTCCTGTGCAGGGTCGGGAGTTGGACTGGACGATCCAGCCCGGGATATTCCAGCATTCCATGAGGATTCCCGACCGCTCCAGCCCGTTCCGCGGGCGGCAGCTCCCTCTGGTGGCGGCGGCCCCGCATTGCAGGGACGCGGCTCCGCCTCCATCGCGGTGCTTTTATCGCTCTGGAAACACCGACCCGCCTCGTTCCGCCTCATTTCTCCTCATTTCTCCTCATTTCTCCTCATTTCTCCTCATTCCTCTGCTTCTCCCTGCTAATCAACGGCTCGGCAGCCCTGGCATTTATTACAGTCATATCTGTGATGTCCAGGTTGTCCATCCACTAAGAGATTTTGGAGGAAAAGCACAAAAGGTGATTGATTAATATTTTAATTTCGTAGGCTATTCGGAACGAATCAGAATAATAAAGGAAAGAAGACACTCGTAATATTTTTCTCAGCGGGATTATCAAATTGTGAGGGAAAATTTCATGTGTACACCATTCACAACATTATTCCATGAGCTGTGCTAGTTGGTCATGTTTGCTGAGAAAAATGTAATTTCCATCTTGAACTTGTCCACCTTCAAAATCCATGGATTTTATTGCTTTATATCTTAAAGACCCTTCTATTATCAAAGTGTCCTTTCCCCCTCGAGGTTCTTACACCTTATATATTAGATGAAACAAGCACATGGATACTTGTAACAGCTTTCTAGCCCGGAAACTTCTTTACAGTTAGATTTACAATTATGCAGATCCTGGGGCAAAACCTGTTCGCTTTTGGTTATTTTCCCATTGCAGACCAGGCTGGGAAACTTTTGAAGGAAGTAGCACTGGGTATTCAGATACTGCTAAACATATGGAATTACCTGTATTTGTAATGACAGATCAATAAGAAACTGTCCTTGGTTCAGCAACTGTTGCTTAATTCCAATTACTATAAGAAAGCACAAGTTTTTATTCCCATAAAGATCATCCCTAAACTAATTTGAGAATTAAAATATTTAAGATTCCCCTTCAGGGAAGCTTCAACCAGGGAATGAGGAGGAGCTCCCTTAAAAAAAAAAACCAAACAAACTTATTCCCTGACTTAAATGTTTAGTTTCTGTGGACCTACAAGTGATTTTAAATTCCAAGCAAGCAGCCCCGAACCCACACTGGACTCCCATTCTTACAGGGACAATGAAATTTGCATCATACCTTTGGCATCTGTGTTGCTGTTTCCATTTCCACTGAGTAATTGCCGGAATGCTGGGCCTGGCAACTCTGCCTCTGTCTCAGAATGCAGCTCAGGAATTGCTCCCTGGAATACAAAGAAGGTCAGAAGGGACTGTGCTTGTCCAACTGTCTGGTCAAATAGTCTGCTCCTTTGTTTCCTTCCATGCTCTTTATTTTTTTTTTTAAATATATTTACTTGCTTTGCATCAGTAACTTGCATGCGAGATCAGCCTGCAAGGCTTATCCGAGGCTGCTGGGAACTGCTTGGATGCCCTGACAACTGCACTGGGCTGGTTTTCTCTTCTTAGGACTGTCCAGAATTTGCTGTGCCCAAATCCTGGCCTATCTCTGAAAGCTGCTTCTCAGAAAAAACATTGCAAGGGTGTAATATCCCAGAATCCTGTAAACTACTTGATTTCTACAGCAGCCATCACCCAGGGAGGTGATTCCACCCCTCTGCCCCGCTCAGGTGAGACCCCACCTGCAGAGCTGCCTCCAGCCCTGGGGGCCCAGCATGCAGGAAGGATGTGGAGCTGCTGGAACGAGTCCAGAGGGGACCACCAAGATGATCAGAGGGATGGAGGAGCTCTGATAGCAGGAAAGGCTGAGAGAGTTGGGTGTGTTCAGACTGGAGAGGAGAAGCTTCAGGGTAACCCAGCTGTGGCCTTTCAGTACCTGAAGGGAGCTGATAAAGAAAATGGGGAGAGATTATTTAGAAGGGCCTGGAGGAACAGGACAAACCTACTCTTCAAACTGAGAGCAGATTTAGATGGGATATTTGGAAGAAACTATTCCCTGTGAGGGTGGGCAGGCCCTGGCACAGGTTGCCCAGAGCAGCTGTGGCTGCCCCATCCCTGGAAGTGTCCAAGGCCAGGTTGGACGGGGCTTGGAGCACCCTGGGCTAGTGGAAGGTGTCCCTGCCCATGGTAGGGGATGGAACTGGATGATCTTTAATGTCTCTTCCAATCCAACCCATTCTGTGGTTCTCTGATGAATCCCAGAGCAGTGGAGGTTCCTTGACCTGGGCTGAAACACTGTGCTGCCCAGAGAGGAACCTTTGTCCCTGGTTCATTTTGCCCCTGGACATGAAGTAGACTTAGAAACAGCAAGTTTAGTTGCTTCTGCTCCCCATTAAGCAGTAGCACATTCTGTGCAGTTGACGTTGATGTGTCCATGAACCATCTCTGATAAAATGTAATGAACGCTCACGAAATGTTTTAATTTGGCTTCATTTCCCTGGAAGGATTATAAAAGTAAGGAGATGCTTTGTTTCCCAGGAAACCTGGCCTAGAGGATAACAACATGATCTGTCAAACTGCGAAAAACACTAAGGAAAAACAGGTTATCAAAACCGTTGCTCGGGGTTTAATTAGAAGAAATTCTTCTGCTATGTATGATGGCTGAGGTTGTTTTGAGCTAAGCTGGCCATTTGGATCAGCTTGGAAAATGAGGTATGGAACTCATTCCATGATGAGTCACAGGGGGTCTGGGACAGCTGGACGGGGATAAATTTATTTGGCCCAGGCCAAAGAGTCTCCACTGCGGATTTCAGTGTGACCAACTCCCAGAAATGGGTCCCTACTTGCACGTGGACTTTTCTCCTGTATTTACAGACTTCCCAGTTGGGAAGGACTGACATTATGACCCTTGTTCTTACAGACTGGACACCTTGAGCTCCTGCCAGTGCTCCCTGGTCTCGATGCCCGGTGACAGAGGAAAAAGCTGATTGCCCAGAACTTTTGTGTGTCCATTGACTCTGGGCTCAGGATGCTTTCCCAGGTTTGTGAGACACATATCACAACCTGTGTGAAGTGGAAGTTTTCTGCAGAGATTGGGCTACTGGAGAGATCCCAGAACTGTAAGTTCTTGAGTACTTGCCCTAGCTCAGCCCTGTGGTTTACTCCCATATAATCTGTTGTTCCCTTTAGGGAATTAAAATCTAATGCATATAAAATGGTCTAAGAATGACTTATTTCATAGTGGTCTGGACTGTTTATTACAGAAAGCCTATTAAAAAGCCCTGCTAATCTCTGAGCTGTATTCCATCATCTTTTCCAACCTAAATGATTCTATGATCCAGGCGAGGGTGTGCAACTCTGCTCGGAGCCTGGAGGCTCCTGTAGCAGAAACTCAGGGCGCTTTGTGGCACTCCAGACATTTCCAACCATTCCAGGAATATCCCCGGGGCAATTCCCTGGGAGCACGTGGGGTTTCATCCAGTCAGCAGAGGTCCCAAAGGCCCTGACTCACAATCTGCATCAACATGCTGTTGCTGCCGTCCTGACTTGAAAACGGTTTGAGCCAAATAGGAAAAGGAAACTTCTCCAAAAGGCAGTGGAAAAAAAAAAAAAAAAAAAAAAAGGAAAATTACTCAAATTCAAAGCTTATGCCTCAGGATCAAGGAAGTTTACTAGACAGGTTTTAAACTGCACATTTCTGTGGTCCTTCAGAAATGCATCACGGCTGGAATGTGAAATCAGAGACGCGAGTGGCGAAACGTGCCACGTATTCCCTGCCTTTCGCTGCTCTGACACCGGGGGTGATTGATTTGTACCACCAGGAGAAAGAAATCCCAGCTCCACCAGTGAGGTCTGTGAGTCAGGTCAGCTCCTGGGCAGGCAGGGAGGGAGGGAGGGATGCACTGCCTGGTGTGCTCCCTCCAGCACAGTCTGGCTGCAGTTCAGATCTGCCTCTTGCTGGCAGGAGATGAAGACTGTGCCGACAGCAGGGGTTGAGTGGCACTTGCAGGGCTGGCATCTCGTTGTGCTGGTGGATGGGGTACCCAACAGGCACCAGAGATCCTTACAGAGAAGTGTCTGCTTCCGCAGAACTGCTTTAAGCTGGGAACTGAGGGAGGTTTAGACATTTTTGCAAGTTTACATATAAAGACAGCAGCAACAGGTGATGTATAAACTGTAGCAGGTGCTCGGTATCACAGAGAAATACTCACTAAAACCCAAGACAAAGGGAAATCTGAACATGTTTATGGTCTTTAAGAATGTAAATTTGTTTGTTGGTTAAACAGAAGAAAACGAGGGAGCTGAAAAAGTCTAGTAAACCCATTTACTTTCCTATTTCACTGCTCAATGGCTTTTAAAACAAACAGACAAATAATATCTTGGAGTTAAAATTCTACAGCATTATTAACATTTGGATAATGTTATATCTGGGGCACCATCAAGCTGCCTGCTGTACCCTTACTATGAAATGTGATTTTTCTCTTGGCACAGGAAAACTCTGCCTGTGTTGTGTCAGAAGAATATTTGGGCACAGAATTCAGTTATCTGAGAGAAGTTTTGGTTCCTGTTCAAAGAAATCATCAATCCAACGAGTTTACAGTAAATGATTTTATTAATTTTTGGGGGGAAGATTTCTCTGCTATTTAATCTGTTTTGCAGCTCCATGATGGGAATGGCTCCTCTTCCAATCCTGTGACTCGAGTCAGACTGGCAACAACAGTGCCTTTCTCCTCCTCCTCCTCCTCACTCCAACAGTAAATTCCTTTGCTGGGCTGCACCTTGAATTCAGCAGTTTTAACTCAGCTTCTTCACATGCACCATCAATACTGGGGGAACTTCGTGGCCCAGAGTCTTAGCAACAATCAAATGTAAAACTATCCCTGCGAGGTGAGCTGTTGCTCAGGAGCAGAATCTCAGTCACTGACTGAGGAGTCTGAAGAGTTTTTTTTCTGAATTTTACCTCGAGTTACTCCTGTGCCAGGACAAAATGAGCTTCATTCTGTTGTGTGAGTGGTTGCTGCTCAAATGAACACAGTGTTCGATGCATCTTCCATGGAAAATTGCTAGAAAGCAGAGGAACTGAGAAGAGGAGGAACTTTTTAAAAACTGTGTATCCAGAGCTATTCTTGTGCTATTTATACAAAGCCTTTTGCATCTGTGACTGCATGTTAGAGAGGTACAAAATGTCCTTCCAGAGCAAACTTACTCAGACCAATTCAGACGTATTTGGCAGCTCATAAAGGTGTTTAACTGTTCGTGTATCTGGGTAGAAGACTCAAGTACTTTTGATTTTAAGACTGAAATCAGGTGTTAATAGTGACTTTTTCTCTCAACCTGCCACTAAGATGAAAATGCCCTTTTTCAAGTAGAATTTGCCCATGTCTAGCACTGCCATTTTTTGTATAGCAAGCACACAAAACTTCACTGAGCTTTGTAACCCTCCTTCCCTTCCCCAATTCCTATTAACTCCTGTAAAAAACACAATTCCCATTAACCCCTGTAAGAAACGCTCTTTGGGACTGTCACCTTGGAAACATTTCATGTATTAGGTGTTATATATGTGGAAAAATATTTACAAGTGTGGAAAGGAAAATCGTGGCAGTACCAGGCCATACTTTACTAGGTTGGTCCTGTTTCATATGGATCCCTCTTCCAGCTGTGATGGAATCTGATTTGCTCTTCCATTCACGTGCATCCCTGAGCACTGTTTTTCTGCTTTTGGCTGGAAAATCTGAAGGAAATCTACTGGTGTGATCATGGTGTGATACTGTAAGGGTACAACAGGAGAAAATTTCCATCAGGGAGAGCTGATCCGAGCACAGCTGCTGCTGCTGCTGCTGCTTGGGAACTTGCCAGTGTTTTAAATAGACTTCTACATTTTCCCAGGTCTTAGAAGTCATAGAAAAGGCTCTTAAGAGTGGAATAGGATTAAGTGTTTAGGAAAAATAAGGGGAAAGGTATTGGAGTTTCATGACTGCCTGAGAACCGCCGAGGAGAATTTGGGAGACTCAGTTTTGGTGCTTCAGTGTTTGTGAAACAACGAGCCAAAGACCAGGGCTTTGAAATCCTTCCACAGCTGGACAGCTCAGGCTCTCCTTTATTTCTGTTATTCTCACCCTAAATTTTCTTTTCCTCTTCTTCTTCTTCTTCTTAAAACAAACATTACTGAATTCCAGAAGGCCAATAGTAGGGATGTGCTGCCCCCCTATTCCTACACTTCCACTCTCAAGTTGTTTCCTTCAGCATCCACTGGCAGCTTCCAATGAAGTGGACGGGCAGTTGGTACCACCAGAAGATATATTTGTTTATCTGGCATTTCCTTCAGAGAATTCCACCCCTCTGGAATATTTCTGAAGCAGTGTCAGTCCACAGCCTGTGCTGCCCCCACTTCTACCTTCAGTTTGGGGAAAAACAAACCCGTTTGGTGCCTGGGTCTGTTCGCTCACATGGTGCGCACACGACTGAAGCTAAATAAGTATTAGCTAAAACAGGAAGCTCATTTCAAAGACTGTGCAGCCCAGCCAGGAAAGCTTCCAGAAACATGTGCTCTGAGATGATCTAAGCACGTTCATTATTCAGACTGTGAAGAGCTTTCAAAGGGCCAAATTTCTTAGGGTTGAATCAGCGAGGAAAGTAATTCAGATCGAGGAGTGAGAATCACTGGAGCTCAGGAAATGTTTGTCGTGGCCACTAAAAGTGTAAGGGGGGGGAATAAAAAATAAATTAGGCTTTGATAAATGTGTATTGGAAGTTTGGGCTTATAAGAAACTGCAGAAGTAAAGTAGAAGGACCATAATTTAATTTTTTTTTTTTTTCGTAGAATGGTGATGCTCTAAACCCATTCATATCAAGAGAAACAATCCAACAGCAGCAGCATTTCACAAGCAGATAGATCATGAAAAATTCACATGTGTTGAGTGAATTTTGCTAATTTGGGGATAAGAGGGTTAATATATCTGTGAAAGTAGCCATAAATATCATTCTCAATCACTGTCAATTTTTTTGGTCAAACCTTTTTTCACAGTGGTTTATGTCTTAAAATTCTTTGGATCTACAAAAATGCTTCCAAACAAAGACAACCTGCTCATTTAGTGCCAAAGAAGTGGGAAAAGCATGGACTGGATGTTCTAAAACCACACTAGAGGGCACTTGAGCTGCTTCATCCTGAGCAGGTAGAGGTCAGAGGAGTAGGATGTTAATTCAGGAGCAGCAATGGACTGAATTGAACATGGGAATAAAGCAGGATTTATCAGTATCTGGTTGGTAGAAAAATGAGTGATTTCGGAGGGGGGGGGGAATAGGGATAAATTTCCAGGTCTAAATTTTGCTTATGGGCAAATTAGGAGCAAATAAGGTAAAAACTGCTGATTGATGGCAGTAGTGTTTGGTCCTTGTACATGGATCAGCCACAGAAATGTGGGATACTTTGGGAGCTTCAAAGAAAATCCAGTCTCCAACAGAGCTCCAAAGAGTTGAGCTTCTCCTTGGAGTTTGCTCCTACTTCTTGCTCCAGTTCTGTCCCCTCTCCAGGTAGAGTGTGGTGCCCTAAAATGATAGATTTTGAGGAAATGGAACAAACAGCACTTGGCAGCCTTTCTGTAAAGTGTCTACAATAAAACCTGATGATTAGAAAGGTAGTGCAGACCCCACTACTTTGTAACACACTTCAGAATTTCAGAGGTTTGGTTATTTAAAAAAAAAAAAAAAAGAAAAAAAAAAAAAAATGTTGATCTGGTTCCCAGTGTGGAAAACATGCATAGAAGTTTGAGTGTGTTTAGCCTGGGGAAAAGGAGGCTCAGGGGGGACCTTCTTGTTCTCTCCAACTCCCTGACAGGAGGGGGGAGCTGAGGGGGTCGGGCTCTGTGACCATGGCAGGGATGGTTGATGGTTGGGCTCAATGATCTTAGAGGGCTTTTCCAACCTTAATGACTCTGTGATCTCTTGAAGGTCAAGGCCTCTTTGTCTTTAGTGCTGGGCCCCACATTTCAAGGTCCTGGAGCCCAGTCCCAGCTCTGAGCAGCTCCTGGGCATCTGCCCGTGCTCAGAGCCCGGCTGGCTCCAGATGTTGCTGCACAGCCCCACTGACAATTTATTTCCAGCAGATGATCACAATGTATTTGTCAAACAAACTTTGCTTGAGAATTGGCAGCTGCCTCCGAAGCAGGAGGTATTTGGGAGGTTGGGTTTCAAACAGCAGACACAACCAAAGTCCAGCTCACAGCATCTTCACTCAGTCAGCACTGAAACAAAGCTACAAGCTGCGATTTCTGGGTGATTTAAAGGCCTCCTGATAAGTCAGGTTTCCTCCATGGACTTCCTGTATCTACTGTGGAACACCCACTTTTTGCCAATCACACTCCCCCAGTCACAGAGAATTGCTGGCCAGGCTTGTGACCTGTCTGGTTCCTCAATCTCTTGTCTTCTCCCTTTCTGCTGTGCCCTCATGAGACCCCACCTGCAGCACCTCTGAAAAAAAAACCAAACAAACCCATAGTTGAATTGCTGACCTATCCCTTTTGGCTTTCAGCACTTTGTTTCCTCGTGAACATCCAGCCACAGTGGGAGTTTTCCTGCTCCCAGCAGCTCGAGGTGGGACACGTTGTTTGACAGGCTGACACGTGCAGCACGTCCTTGTAGCGAGGAAAAAGTGTGTGCAGAGGAGAAAGCCTTGCCAGGAGCTGGCTGAGGGCTGTGGGACAAGCCCTCACAGGATCCAGGAACCACCTCAGATCTCTCTGCATTCCATTCAAATGGGAGCTGGGCTCTTTTGATCTGGATCCAGGGGCAATCCAGGCGGAGAGGGAAACAGGAGAACCTCCATCCATGTTCCCAGGGATGAGGAAAGAGGGAAAACTTCTTGTGGCAGATGCTGGATTTGCTCTTTGGAGAATTATTAGGTTATGCTTGGAAACTGTTAATGAGCTTAATGCAAAAACTTGAGTGGAATAAGGTGGGTGGAGACACAGATCCACTTTTTAACTACAGGCATGTTGATCTAATCTTTCCATGTTTCCATGCATATCTTGGATATCCATGACATAAGAGCACAAATCCTCCAGTTTTTATTAGCTTTTGTAAAGCTTCTCTTTGCAGCATCTTACAGAGGGTTTTTTGTGCAGTTTAGTTGTAAATCAGAATTTGGAGCACATGGATAATAAGAGGACTTAGATTGTAGTAACCTCCTGAGTGGTTAAAGGGAAACTTGTCTGTCTAAAGAGAGCATACAATATAAAACTGAACAGATTTTACCTTCCTAGGAGGAGCTTTCTGTGTCTGGAATAAGAAGAAACTCCTTTCCTTCTGCTGAGGGAAAGTTTTGCAAATATGTTTTGTTGTTGTTGGGTTTTTTAATTAATTTTATGTCGGGGTTTTTTAGGCAAATACCATGACTTGAAGTTTTCGGTGAAATTCCTCCTTCCTTAGTGTTTTTTGGGTGGAAGAGAGAACAGAAATGAAAGTTTAGTGAAATTCTGAGGCTAATGATTTTGTTCTTCAGCTTAAATTAGATTGTTTCCATGACAATCCTTTGGTTAATTGCACTTAAGCCACTTAATAGCACAGTTTCTTCTGGGCTTCCTGAGCTGCTGGATGTGTGGCCTGACATCACCTTTCTTCAAAACCAGCTGAAATTGCAGCAGAAAAGGCCCAGAATATGGAAAGGAGAAGAGAAGTGAGGAGGAATAAGAGAACAATGGACAACAAGTAGGAGCCTGGACCAAAATGCTGGGATGCACATGGAGCTGGGAGGTGATTTAGGCAGAAAGGAAGGAGAAAAAACTTCTCCCATGGGTTTAAAGCTCTTGGCAAAAGCTCAGGAGTCCCCCCAGTTGCTGAGGTCAAACATGGAGGATAAATGACAATGAATCTTGTGTTGGCCAGTATTTTCTTCAACATAACCTGTTTAATGTAATGGAAACTCTGTAAGGAATTTATGAATGGCAAGAAGCTGCAAAAAGCTGCCAGAATGGAGGAGGACAGAACTAGAATTATAAATGACTGACAGATTAGGGAAAACCTCTGAAAGAGCAGCTATAACTAAATCATAACATTAAAGATCATGGGTTTGTGTAGGAATAAACATCCCCACACATTCAGCACTGGGAGTGGATGGCCAGGTGAGGTGTGTAGTGAGGAATTTGGGGGGTGCTGGAAGGAGATGAACGCTGGTTAATATGGAGAGATGACAATTTGTGGATGACCACGACAGTCAGCACTCACAGCCTGTGTGGGGTTCTCCCCAGGAAAGGTGGGGACCACTAGGGGACAATCCAGACCAACTTTCAGCTCCCTGATCCCTCCCCGAGCTGTAAACATGAGATCATTCCAGGATATCTCCTGCATATGCCCTACATATGTCTCAAATCTTTACACTGTGAACTCTACAAACAAATACTGCAAAGATTAATATTAAAACACAGCCCAGATGAGGTGATACCAGAATGTAGGAAAAAAAAGCTTAGGATCTAGAAAAAAAAAATAAATCCAAATGACAAAAGCAGGATGAATCTGGAAATTTGCTCCTTCGTAGCTTTGTGTTTAGAATCCTGCTTTCTGTCTTTCTTTAGCTGCCTTGTTGGATTGCTTAGAAATGTGGGAAGTCTAAACCCATTCCCTTAATTCTTACAGTCAGCAGCTGAGTGCCTTTTTCCCAGCTTTTTGCAGGAAGGGTTGGTAACTTCTTGTGGAAGGTGGTGGTT